CAATCAGCCGGCCTTGGCTGGACCTTCCGGCCTTTGTGCCTTGAGAGCGGCGACCCGTCCTTGCCTGAGCCGGCTGTTCATTAGATGGCAAAAGATACCTGGGTGTTTTTTTTTTTTCTTTTTTTTTTTTTTGACAGTGATACTGCTATGATCTTTTTCGAAGGGACCCTAATCCGGCGCGGACTGGTTAATGCTCAATATTACCCCAAACTTTCTTTGATACTACATGCATGACAACTAACAGTAAGACCGGGGTGAGAAGTCCCGGGCCCCCTTGAGTTACGCACGTCCTGTTCATTCATCTAACCATGTCTCTGAGTTGCGCGATTCGCCCTTGATTCTGCACGTCAGCGAGTCTCGGAAGACGTCCAAGTTGACTTCGCAAGAGGCAAACCCAGATCGTCTTTTGTATGAACAGTTATAACGGCTATCCTTAGGTATGCAACGACCGAGGCCTCTAGCAGTGCCGCGGTTGAAAGTCGCAATTGAGATTACCTGGCTACCAAATGCTGCGACTCTTGCTGGGTCGGAGACGTGATGTACCGAAGACCGATAAGAACTGCATTGTCAGCGGCAAACATATTCTTCCGTTATTATTCAGGCAGCGCAAGCCCTTCATAAGACCAGCGTCACATCCCCACCTCAATCCGGTCCGCTAGCCGACTAGCATTGCAGTTACAGGCGGGCGAGAGCTGTTGACAATTCCGCAGCTGTTAAAATTTCGTTTATTGACGAGGGGACCTTTTCTAGCTGTACCTCCAAACAATGCACGGGTTGTTAGGCTCTCTCTTTTTTTCCCCTGTCAATTCAGCCGTTTGTATTTTGCCTGTCCTCTTTCGAGGCGGGCTATGCCTTGCAACTTGGTGATGCGACGTTTCATGCTGACCGCAATCAGTGGATAACCCCTCTATTACCCAACCAAGACTCTCAGCCCCGGAGCTGCACGAGCTGACCAGGAAAGGAACAGCAGACTTCAGGAAGCAGGATTACATCCAATATATCCAATGTCAACCAGCTAGAAACCACCCAGTCAAGCCAAACATCGAAGAGTCACTGTCGCATTGTCTCAAGAAGATGAGTTTGCTTGTGGATAACATGGCCGAGGTGTAGTTCGACTCGAGAGACAATGGGTTGACGGCATCTTGTAAAGCTATCCTCCATTTCAGCCCCCCAGCTCGGCTCGCTTTCTTTCCCCTCTCTTTGTTCAACCAAACAAGAACTGACTCTTCTCCTCCTCGTTGGGCACGTAAGTAGACGGCGAAGTCTATCCAGTCATTGGCCGAGAGATGCTTGATTCTTGTAAGCTATTCTTGTCCCCCTCCTTTCAAGTCCCAAACTAGGCCACGAGACAACGGTGTATGTACGTTTGTATCATAATGCTCCCCTCCAAACGTCCAGGGGTTCCGTATCCCCCATGTCGCAAGTCCGACATGCAGCCTGGCTGCAGCTGTTCTCGCGTGAGAATGAGAAGAGTGTCGTACTCTTGGTATCCTTTTACATGGTCCGTCCGATCTGCTTGACCAGTTGGTTGATGGGCGCAGCCCCACCCCAACATTTGAAGTTTCGTTTTTACTTCTTCCTGAGCCTGAGCCAGAGAGCCAGATAGTTACTAGCGTGCGACTCACTCGCCACGATGTTTGATGAATGAGAACGGGAGGGGGCATGGATTGCGGACAATATAGACGGACAGGAGACGACGGCGGCGACTACGACTACGACTACGACTACGACAGCGTTTGGGGTACATATATAGATGGACGCTGACTGAAGCACGAGTTTCTCTGGCATCGCCCACACGCGCACTCTGTGGTCGCCAGATGGCCCGAACTCACGGTACATGCAAGTACTCGGTATGCACAGTAGTAGTAGACGTACAATATGTTGTACTTGCCCGCCAGGCCTAGGTACCAAGGTATGCATCCAAGGATGGCGTCGTTCTCCAACCCTTGCGCATGCCTTGTCTGACTTGCGGACTGACTTACATTTCGGCTACCTTGCTACATATGGCATTAGCCAAAATCCACATGGGAAACTAGCAGCCGCTTCACCGTTTAACGCAACATCTGGACATCTGGACATTTGGGGACAAATTGTGCTCCGTACGGAGTACTCTTTGGACATCTGGACACCCACTTTTCCAGTTGGCCGCACGTCCATCGGAAGATATTGCCAGCTGGAGGAGGCGCGGCGACAGTGTGGACAGTCCAAGGTGGACGAGGAACCTGACCCTAGTTTGGTGAGTACTTCAAGTACATGGACACTGCGGCGTAGGCACCGAGGTACATGCTTGGAGTACCTAGATACAACCTTATGATCCAGGGCAGGACGCTCTAGCTGCTCTGGGACAAGCGTGCCACCAGGTGGGCGCCTCCCTGGCAAACCTGACAGAATAATTTAAGTGCTTCAACCAAGTGCGCTCGAGTCTGGTGCTGCTCAATCTCCCATCTCCCTGCTCCTTGCTCCCTCCTCCTGCACCCTGCGCCCTGCTCCCTGGCGCCATCGCCGACGTCGTTGGCCACGCCAAGGCTCTTCTTTTAGCTCCCCCAGACCGCGCCATCTCAGCCAACCACCCGTCGTCATCTGCCTCCCTTGCACGTTTGGACGATATCCGCCCATCCTTTATCCTTTCCGTGCGCGGTGCTCTAACTCATTGTGCAATATCTCGGTACATGTGTGCGAAGGTGCAAAGACTGATATTGAGAGACGTTGCGGGAAGCACGGAAAAAAAGTGGCAGCTTGCACACACAAGAAGCAAGTTCTAGTAGATGTTGGTAAGCACCACGCACCGGGCACGACGGCCGCCAAGGCCACGTCCAAGGACCAAGGGAGGCCACATGGGCAGGCCAAAGGGGCCAAGGAAACACCAGGCCCAGTGCCCATATTTGTCCGCAGGCCCGGTATTGGCATAAAGTACGGGAGTACTCCGTATTCCATCCAGGCTTCCGCTTCGGCTTCGCCTGCGTCTGCGTCTGCGTCCAGTCCTGGTTCTGCCTCTCTGCCTCTGTCTTCTGCCTCTGCCTCTCTGCCCGGCTTCTGTCTGGCCCGGGGTCTTTTTCTGTCCGCCTTGCAGCCGTTCCCCCTCCTCCTGCAACTCCCCCATCTGTCACCTCCACTGCTACCCGTCGACTTGCTTAATACTACACCACTCCAGCCCGCTGCCGCTATTCTGTACCCTCGTTCGCATCCCTCCTCCTCCACCTCCACCACCACCCACTTGCAACACCACCACCACCACCACCACCTTCACGGTCGCGCGCCCACTCCCGGCCACGGCCCCAGCGATCACTTGTTTCTCGTACGCAGTGCCGAGCGCTCACGTCTATCGAGGATTCCATCAATCAGTTCGTCAGTCGCGCGCGCATCTGGAAACCGCCTGCGTTTCCGGTCCACACGCCGCTTGCTCGAGTCGCGCTCATCTCATCGCCGTCATCTTTTGCGACTGCAACTCGCAAGTCGTCGCAAGCCTGTGGTCGCAGTGCCAGTTGCAAGCGAGGACGAGGAGCTTGGAGTTTGGCACTTATTGCTCGTCAACCCGTCCGTCTGCCTTGCGCACCCGCGGCCGTCGCCACCGCTGTCGCACACGCGCCGTCTCGCGCCTGCGCCTTATTCCAAGGTAAAACCATTCCAAGCTGTTTACTAATTTTTTTTTTTTTTTTTTTTTCGCCGCCGTTGCAAAACTCTTGTTTCTTGCCGTGTTTCTCGTCCTTTGCACCTCGTGTTTTTGCGGGGCGCGTGAGCCTCTGGGCCTCTGGAAGGGGCCCTCTGTCGTCTGGCAAAGCGCTCCACTGGGTTCAGGTTTAGGTCGCGCGCCTCGTGCAAGGCCGCCGGTCTGTGCCGTCAAACTGGTCTGGTACGTATCCCTCCGTGCGTGCGGTACCAGACATTGTACATGCGGTACATGGCCTGGCGGTCGACGCTATATCCGGTTCCCTCCGTCGCTGCAACGGCCTATGGGCGTTCGAAGCTGCTGCCGTCACTTTTGCTCCGGGGGCCCTGCGTCCAAGTACCTCGCTGCGCTGGGTACCTGCTAGGTACCTCTCCTGCTGCCGACGCTGCTGGGGGTACAGCCCGAGTCTCCTTGCTCGAGTTCACGTTCCCGCGCCCACTCCCCGCCGGCCACCTGCACGGTTAACGCTGTTCTGCCGCACCCTCTCCACGCTTGAGCTCCTCCCAGCCCAACTGCTTCACGACACGTCGCCGTCATCGTCATCGTCGCCGTCGTTGCCGCTGTCGTTGATGCTATTGCTGGCTTGGCCTGTCTGTCATGTACTCTGCGCAGCCAAACAGCGCTGATAGTGCCACCATCAATCCTGCCGCTCTGAGTTCTCCCGGTGAGTTTTGTTCTTTTTCCTCCTTGTCAACACCTCAGCCATGGCCGTGTGTCGCGACGCCATTTTGAGCTTCGTTGGAGCTTGCCAGCTCGTACCACTCGGACTGACCACGGCCCAAGCCGTCGCTGTGCGCCTCTCTGTGTGCCTCTCCCGAGACTCCTGAGCTTGCGCGTGCGCGACACGAACTGCTTATTTTTTGACGTTGGCGCAACTTGGCCCGGGGGGGCCCTTCGGCTCTGTGTCGCAATGCTGACTATTGTTGCTTAACAGCCCTATCTAACCCGCCGCTTCGCGGCCTCAAGCGGAGCCGGTCCTCAGATTCTCACAACATCCTGCAGCCCGGCGATGACGGTATGTCGTGGCAGGGTTTCACCCAACTTGACGTTTGCCTTGTCCTGCCTGGGGTACGGTGCGCGCGCAGGGCCGCAGTGCGCCACAATCCATTCTCCGAAGCTCAATACGGCCGTGTTACGATACGCAAAAGACCCAGAAGTGGCCGTAGACGGAGCGATGACGAGAAGACTGGCATTTTGTGTTCTCGTTTTGCTCATTTTTATTTCTTCATAATTTGGCGCTTTGCAGCACGCTACAGACGACGCGTAAGAGGCTAACCACTCATGTTTTTGCATTACAGCCAGTTCCCCGCCTCATCCGAAGCGAATCAAGCAAATGAAGCCATCCGACGCTCCTGGGCAGCCGCCCGCCCCCGGGGTTGCGCAGGCTGGTGCGCCGCCGCAGACTCCCCAGTCTCAAAGCTCTGCCTTGCCGAGCCAGACGACTCCCGCCTATGCCACGACTCCGGCCGGGGCGCCCCCCAAGACGACGCCGACCAAGTCCACAGTCAAGGCCCTGCCAACCGTGAGAGACCATACTACCGACCAATTGAACCCAGCTGGCGATGAGTATCTGCCAAGAGAAATCGATGAGTTTGGTGAGAAGAAGGTTATGCCCAACGGCCAGCTTCTTGGCAACCGAACCTACCGGTGTCGGACCTTTCTGGTGCCCAACCGAGGCGACAAACTCTTCATGCTTGCGACCGAGTGTGCCAGGGTGCTTGGATACCGTGATTCCTACCTGTTATTCAACAAGAACAGGTCTCTCTTCAAAATCATTGCCAGCCAGGCCGAAAAGGATGACCTTGTCCAGCAGGAGATATTGCCCTTTTCGTACCGCTCCAGACAGATTGCCATTGTGACTGCTCGGTCCATGTTTAGACAATTTGGGAGTCGCGTTATTGAAAATGGCCGCCGCGTCCGGGATGACTACTGGGAAACCAAGGCCCGCAAACAGGGATTCACCGAGGCAGATCTGGCTGGGGAGAAGAGACCAGGTGCCGCCAAGGCCCGAGAGGCGGCCGAAGCCCAAAATAACCTCCTTATGAGCGGTCCTCACACCGAGATCGTCTATAACAATACCCCCGGACCCTATCCTGGTGCTCCACCGACACATCTGGTCCAAACAGGTATGATGGGAGCGCCACCTGGAAACATTGGAAGAATGCCTGGATTAACAGTCGGGCCAGAGTTAGGCGACACTCGCCCTAGGGACTTCAGTAATATTATCAAAGGCGGCCCTCGCCAGGAGATTACCGGCCCAGCCTATCAGGACCAGACCAGGCCATCGCCACTGGGAGAGATCCATTCACAGGCGCATCATGCCGCCGAATTCAACCGATCCGTTAACCAGCAACGTGATATGCGCGGCGATTATTTACAGGGCATCTGGCGCCGTCCTCATGAGCAACCGGTTACGTCTTCCCTGAATCCGACTGTCGGCGCTACCGATGCCGGGGCCGCAACCACACGACCATCGAGCTCACCGCATACTGTTGCTGCTGCTGGCGTTACGCAACCCGTTGTGTCATCCCAGAGCCCTCAGATGCTGATGACTGCGGCTCCATACTCGCAGTCGATTCACGCCCAAAACCAACTTGGTCAGAACCCCTTTGCCCCGAGTCTCCCTGAGGAGGCGTTGATTGATTGACAAGCCCCTTTGAGGGAGCAGTGAACGGCTAACATGAGTATATTCAGGATCTACAGGCGGCGGTAGCATGAGCCAAGGCGCGCCCGGTGGCTACAATTATCAGCCTAACCAGGCCATGTGGTCGCAGAACACACAAACTCCGCATCATGGCGGCTATGGCAGCTATACCACGCAATCCCAGGCGCCTCACCCATCCCAGTCCCCAGCCTCGCATCTACGCCAGCCGAGTGCAGGGCAACTGCAGCCAAACATGCCATTCCCAGGCATGGGTAGTATGCAATACGGTGCAAGCCAAGGCATGTATCCTACGGACCAAACACCACGACAGTACATGGCTCAAAGCACACCCGGAGCGCCACAAGTCTCTCAATCTTGGTCTGGCCAGCACTCACCACCCCCCCAGTGGTGGACGCCGCAGCAGCAGCCCCAGTAGAGCAAGCTTTTCTAGTCTGATTCCCTTTCGGGATTGTTCATTTGCCAGCGGCCGGTTGATACCTGACGACCTTAACGCCTGCTCCTGGTCTCTCTTTGTCGGTTGTGAAGCATGTTTGTGCCGGCTCATGCTTTTTGCTTTTTGTTTTGTCTAGTCTGTTGGCTTTATATATTGGACTGTACTCCCGCAGCATTCCTGGATACCCAAGCATACAGACCAGTTAGGGAGGCTATGTGCTTTGGGGCTTGTAGCCCTTCGAAATTGTGTATAGCATTTGGCCGGGATTGGATAGAGGAGTCGGGCGGCTGGAACACTTTCTTCTCCTCATCTTGTTCTTTTCTTCTCCTTTCTCACTCTTCATATATGTCTTTATTTTCACAATTGGTTCGACTTAGCTTCGATATCTCACGACAATATCTCAGCGCGACGTTCATTCATGGCCACCACGCCCTGCCCCCCCCTTTTCCCTTTTTTTTTCTTCTGGTTTTGCTTCAACGACCTTGACCTTTTGCTGGGACAAAGGATGTTAGCCGGCTGTGTTGCATAACCATTTCACATCTGAATGGTCCGCATCGTTGCTCTGATGCAAGTCGACGTGACTGGTATCTCTACACCCTTTGCGTGCAATCTGGCTAGCCGCTTCTCAGAATATAAGTATCGTTGTTTCTGTGGACAAGTCAACGCTACTAAACTCGAAGATCCGCAAACGACCGATAGAGACGGTCTATGGTCATGCTAACTATTTTTTTCTTTCTTTTTTTTATATCTTTTTTGAGATGATTGTTTGACTATATGAAACCATGTCACAACCAGATTTTTGTGATCTGGCTTCAGAACTCTCGCGCTATTGTCGAATTTGATGTTTTTGTTGATGGAGCAAACGTTCACCACTTGGAGGAGAGTTGATTTCGAGCGAATGCCACTCTCGTCATCATGGAGTTATTCCCGTGCGGAACGAGCAAAATGGCTTTTATTTGCAGATGAATGGATGACGTCCGACGATGTTATCACGCAGAGGCGCCAAAGTTTCCCGTGTTATTTTGCCACTTCCCCCTTTGTTTTTTTCCCATTGCCATCTTCTGTCTTTTTTCTTTACCCTTTTTAGCAACTGTCTTACTGAATTTTCCCGGTTGGTTTTTGGATTATGGTTTGGTGGGGACGTGTAATACCCGAGAAGGATGGGCTTTGGATTTACTGCTGGTTTCGTCTTGTGTTGATTGATTTTGATTTCTTTCTTTTTTTTTTCTTTCTCGTTTTTCGTTGTACGGCTCTGTGTCCTTCGTCTTGTCCGTACTATTACGTGCATCAGATGGAGCGTGGGGTTGCCTGGTTAGGCGAATGGGTATCGATTGTTTATGTACTTGCTCCGCTATGTATATGGAGTTGTAGGGAAGTTTGCTTTCCAAATTTCATGCTCACACGTCCACATGCCGTCAAGTGTCTTGAGGCGTTATGTCCGTATTACCATTGCACAAGGTGGAAACTTGACCCACGATGCCAAAGTAATTATTGTGAATGAGCTTCACCCGATGCCATGTAAATTTCCAAAATTCAAGTCAGATGTGTGTATTCGCCGTACATCCATGCCATCATTCAATCTAATCACTCTCGTCTCCGTCCAACGCCTCGTCCCTGTCATCACTTGCAGTTCTCTCTTCCAACGCATCCTGCGTTTCTTCGCTGCTCCCGTTCCCCTCTTCCGCTCCCTCCTCCTCCTCCTCCTCATCTGCCTGCTCATCGTCGTCATCCTCCTCCTCATGAACCTCCGCCTCCTCCTCCGTCTCAGCATCCTCCTCCTCCTCCTCCTCATCCACCTCCCCAGGATCAACACGCGCCTTCTTCGCGCGCGGCGCACCACCCACCTTGTCCGAAGCCACCGTCGTATCCGCGGCCGTCGTGTCCGCCATTTCCGTGTCGTCGCCCCCGGCGCCGTCGTGCTTGGCACGTGCTTTCTGGCGGTAACTTGTGCGTTTCTCCGTCTGGATCTGGCTGAACCCTGCGACCAGTCAGCCACACGAGACATTCGCAACGGAACAGGTAGTTTTGCGAATTTCGGTCCACGGCAACGCACTGGCAAATTCGGCCTCGAGGGGCCCCTTCAAAAACGAAAACTCGACCTCGTCCAGCGCCTTGAAGACGTCTGCCGGCGCGACCGTCTTTTTGCCCGCATTCACCGTGTTTTCGTTGGCACTGCTTCCATGTTAGCAAACCCCTTTTCCAAACCAACCACCTGTCCCCGTCCACCCTTCTTTTTTGTTTGGGCATTGGGGAAATGCGCAGGCCGTACTGTGAAGCGAGGTAGTTTATGAATACGGTGGCGCTCTTGCTCATGGCTAGGATGGCATTGGCCTGGATCTGCGTGTTGGGGGGCAATACGCCCTTTGCGAGTCTGGTGATTATTGACTTGGGCAGCGTGAGGTCCTGTATTACTTTAGCGGTTTGGACGGTAATTTTCCTCGCTTTGCGCCCCCTTTTGCTTCCCCTTGGTGGAGGAGAGTGAGCGTACTTCAATTGTGGTGGTGTCTTTCTCTTTGTCCTTGTCCTTGGTGGTCTTTTCTGGTGCGGAAGCGGCTGCTTGTGATTCATCTGCCGGGGCGGTGGGTAGGGTGCTGTCGTCGGGGATGAGGGCATCGCTTTTGCGAGGCTGGTCTGATTTTCGAGCCGGCATGGCCGCGTGTGTGTGTGTGGCTTGTGAGTGACGCGGGAGAAGTGCGGTGTGACGGTTCACTTTTCTTCTATCTTGAGTGTTGAGTGGGCGGCGGATACACAATGAGACCATGTGTGTTCTGACGCGGGGCTATCTCTGGTTTGGCGTCGGTGTCGTCCCCCGTGAGGCGCGTATATATGTCTACGCGGTACCGGTGATTTTCTGGCCGTCCTTGCGGCTCTGCGATGGGCGGAGGAGGAGGTGAAGCAATTCGTCTTGTCGCAATGGGTTGGTTGAAAGCCTGAGGGACTGAGTGATGAAGGTCGTGGCGACCCGCGACATGAACGCGTGCCCCACTAGATGATGCGCGTAGAGTGGCTTTCCACTTTGATGGAGTCGGTTGCTTGCTCTGTTGAGACGGACGTTTTTTTCTTCTTCTCCTTTTTTATTGGACTTGGAAATCTTCATCTCCATGATGCTACATTCATTCATTCTACTCTGCGTGTTACTTGAAATCGCTCTGCAGACAAAGCTCGCTGGAATCGAACAGTTCCATCTTCCATGAAACGCAGCAGGAATGCCGGCCGGTTCGCGCTTCAAGCAGCGTCCGAGGGCCAGGAAGAGATGCAGAGAAGATTCTTTGGTCCTTCTGCAACGCCTGTCAGAAGTGATGGATGGCCCCGTCGTCACAATTGCAACAAACTTGCTACATAGTCTCACGGCGAAAACCCATGTCAATTCTTGTACCAGGGTCCTTCGCCACGGACCAAACTTCCAGTCCTTTCGCACAGAACAACAACCTTGGTTGACAACTCCCCCGGTTCAAGGGCCAACAAGGTCCATATTGGCCATATTCGGTACCAAGGCGAGGTACCCCTTCGTCATGGCGTGTAATTTCATCATCTATTGGCATCCACATGTATATTCATAAACCACTGGTTCCGTAATTTCAAGGCAATTTCGTCATGTACTCATATTCATCTTTACTAATGAGCCAGCTCGCTGGCTTGGGCTCCAGAAACACCGTATCAGGGCATATCCAATCACTGCCCATCCTTCTGTCTGATGTATGTACATGTCCCCATGGTTGCTGTTACACAAGAACGCATTTGGGTATATCCATCCTAATCCTTACAATATCTATAAGATGGTTGTAATAACAAGTCCATGTATGCCATGGAATGAAAGAGTGGAATGTAGAAGCTTGGAAACTATCATGTCATACCAAACTATCCCCGGCTGCCTGTCATAAATGACTTGGGCGGATTCAGACACGGCATCTCGACTTCCACCGACAATGATATTTCAACGACTTGGGCAAGCGAGATAGCCGAATAACTTCATATCATTTGCCGTCATTGTATCCTTGTCAGGCGTGAAACGGCCATTGGTCCCTTTCCACTCGACTCAGCCCACACTCCCGATCCAGCAGGTAGTTGGAAGGTGGGACAATGGTTTCAAGTTGGATCAGCAGTCATGCCATGCTGTTTCCCAGTGTTTTCTGACAAGACAAGAAAGAAAAGTAGAGATTTTGTGGGCTGCCGTAGGCTCTCATATTGTTTCGTTCAGCCAATAGCCCGCCCAATTTCTGATTTGTGAATCACAGGACGAGGCGAGAGGCCGCCAGGGAAGATGTCATCCTCACCCGGTGTTTGCGGAGGAGTTGAACGAGACGAATACACGCCATCAGTCTCTCCGTGAGCTGAATGCAGGGTACGGACGAATGCATCGGCAGATCGTCGTGGAGGTAGTTGATCATCTTGGCCTTGGCTATACCAGGGCTCACGGGGAGATACAGTAGCCCGTGTGCTTTTGGATCGGCCGTGTCGAGGAGATATAAGCGGTGGTGCCTTCGCTAGCCTTGATGGGTAACGTTTTGGGTAGGAAATGAATGCATCTTCTCCTTGAACTGTATCATCTGTGAGGCCGGGTCTAGAATTCGGCGCTCTAGCCAGAACAGGAATTTGAGGCAACTCAAGGCTGCCTTTGCCCGACGAATACATTGCCATCGGCCGGTCTTCCGACATGCGTGAAATTTTTTGTGAAGAATTCTGATAAACAATCACGCTGGTCGCCTTTTGAGCGGACCCAACCGACGTGCTTGGTCGATGGGTGCCGTGACTGCTTGGACTTGATTGGTTTTTCTGAGATTCCTCTTGCATACACGGTTTTTCACTACCGCCTCTGTCCACCCTCCACGACTCTATCTCCTCATCGTCGATAGGTGTGATGCCTCGGTTAAACAGTCGAGCCTTGCGTCGACGGGTTCGATAGCACAGAAGAGCAGCAAGGGCCATGAGCATAATTGAGGGTATTATTGTCGCTAGGATAATAATGAGGTTTTGAGTTGAGAGTCCGTCCTCCATCTTGTCTGTTGGGGGTCCGGTCGTACTTGGTTAGTTGATAGGGACGACCTATTCGTAGCGAGTTGCCGTTTTGCTGTACTCTAAGCCCGATTTAAGCCCGTCCGACTACAGGGTCACGGAGTGCGCCCTCCTTGAGCTAACAAAAAAGTAAAAGAAGAAAAGAAAGAATGAAATCCTCGTAACGAGAGGTCCCTGGGTGAGAAGCAGGCAGCTGACTGTGTTTGATGAAAAAGTAGCGATCGGCATCTACGGGTGAATATACACGTAGTTTAGTCGGTGCCAGCGACGGAAGCGGTAAGACGAGACAGCTCCTGGTAACTTTATATATATATATCACAAAATATAAGTATCGAGACCTATAACTGTGAGGCGGTTAGAACCCATGGCCAACACAAAAAAAGACCTCCAAACCCTCAAAATGGCTGAGACGATCTACATGATCAGGGCACTCATTGTCACGGTTCAGCCGCAAGGAATAACTTACCACATGTGGTCGATGAAAAGCTAAGAACTGCTCCTCGCTCGAAACAGCCCACCAGATGAACTGATAAGAGACTACTGAGCAATATGACCAGGCACAGATGCCCTGCGGCAGCAGGTTAGTGTAGCAACTTGGAAAGAGCAAGAGGGGAGATCGAGATACTATATACAGATGCACTCAACCATGCATGCACCACCACCGCTCACTCTTGATAACCGTGTGGGCTACGGGACTAGGATGTTCACGGTGGGGAGAGTGGACAGAGGTGGGTGGTTCCAAGACAGGGGCGTGTGCGAGCTATTAGACGGAGGCACTCTGAACAGGGGTGTAGGAAGCATCATGAGCCACCTCTCACACAGCCAGGCCAAGTAGCACGGCATTGGCGGACGGAACAGCAGGCAAAAGCTCCGTGCCGCTTGGTGCCGTAAGATGTCCGTACACCGGCGAGGACAACCATAATGGGGAGGAGTGGGCGATGGGCGGCCTATGCAATCCTCTGAGCATACAAAGAACAGCTCCGGCGTAGTTGTGGTAGGTAGGCTACCGCACGATAGCCACAAACGACTCGTTTTAAGACTGATGAAAGTGCTTTTGTTTCTTTGTCTTGGTCGTGTTTGTTGCCTTTGCTTCAAAAGCAAACAAGCTCCTCACCTCGGTGTAACAGACGAACCAAGGCCATTATTCTTCCTGTGGAGAAGGAGCGGTGGTAGCATTTGTGGAGAGCTCAGCATCAAAGATATTGGCAAGAGAAGATGCGCCGTAGTCTGGCTGCATTTTTGCGCTGCATCATCTTCCATGGCCCATACATTTTACGGAGGAATGGCGGCTCGCTCATGTATGATAGTCAGTGACATCGTAGCACTCAGCGGATATTCAGTTCCAGCCCTGCGTCAGATGCCGGTACTCCTGTACAGAGTATAGGTTCGAGGAGGAAAACGTGGCGTGGCAACAAGGCAGCTCAGTGGCCCAATCGTTCTTGGTCCAACCAAACGAGTCGTTCACATGGTCCCGATGTGATGTTGAGGCTAGGGGGTCGAGGAGAGATATCGGGGCGGTAAGCTGGCAAGCAGGTGAGCTGGGTATGTCGCAGGTTTGGTCCGAGTTGCTGAGAGCTGCAATCTTGAAGACTCCAGCATTGGCGTAGAGCTTGACAGCACATCACTGTATATTATTGCATGGCATGCAAGTTAGGTGTCTGCCGCATGAATTTGGGCAGTGCTTCCTCCGTACCTGACAGGCCCGCCATTCAGCTGCCGCGAAGGAGACTTGAAACGTCGACATTAACGCAATAGCCCATTTGTGCTGTCTCTTTGGCCGGAATGCTCTGGGCGGAGGACTCATTAGTCAGGCCATGATTCGAAGAAATGCATGAGGCTGGAGAACAATGAACAATGCGGAGACTACGAGTCGCAGGCTGATTGACCACCTGCACGAAAGCGCGGAAGGCGCCAAGCGCTACACGACGATCAATGTGCAGGAGTGATGCTCAAACCTGCCCACACATGTCCAGAGCATCAAGTCTCGTGCCTCCTCCCCTCACCCTCCTATGTATGCTTGCATTCATCGCGTATGCATCACAGATGGGCGGGAAGAAAGCGGTGCGTATTTCTCCGTCGTCTGCGTGCTACAAGACTTCCAGCAACCGTTGAGTCTCTTTTTCCGGGTCAGCTGAAGCCAACCCACCCACACCTGCAAAAACCAGACACCCTCTCTTTGTCGGTCTTTCCCACCAAAGTCCACCATCACACCTTCAAGCTAACCACCTAGGACCGGCCGTTCCCAAGTTAACCTCACCAGGAACCAGGCACGCGGCCGCAAACGCCAAGAATAGCCTGGTGTCCAGCTCACCATCTGAAATGTGTGGAGCCCGAAAACCACCAAACGACATGTACGGAGTACGGAGTATCCACCAGACAATTGGCGCCCGTTTCCAGGCTAGTTCAGGTGCACTTGTATTAGGTGTGATACATTGTCTCTCCTTTTCCTATTCTTAGGTCAGCTTCTCCGTCTCTACCTTATCCGTGTTGTACTGAGCGTATGTATGTACGTCTCCGTCAAGAATTGTGTTACAGCTGCTTGGAGAAACACATGTACGTTCACGGTGCTTGCTGCAACGTGCGTCACCTGTCAGATCCGATGCTGGGCCTGTGCCTGGCCATTGTCTTCCAGGCTGA